AATACAGTACATTCCTTGAAATCTTCAAGGAGATTGTTCTGTAAAAGGAAAAAATCAAACAGAATATGCTTAATCTGTGCAGAACTTGATGCTCGTTAGGTTCACATGCTTCAGCTGTTTCAGAGATGTGCATGCACTGTATATTTGTCACCAAGACTGTTAATCTTTTGCAGTATATCTGAAACAGCAGTATAGTGTAACATCAAACTGTGCTTTTAGATTTATTGTGTTATTGTATGCACTGGTACCTAAGGGAAGAAAGAAGGAAGTTACATATCTAGGGAAGTGCATTTATGGTAAGTGCACCTATAACCTTGATTTGCACAAGAAGGCTGCACAGTTGCATTATGAAAGACATAACCCCCCTGTGATATTGTGGTACACAGAGATGCAGACTTCTCCTTCATTTTCTAAGGCAACATCTTTATGTTCCTAATTCAAAGAAATGGTGGGAAAATGAAATTTAAATCCTGACAATGTAAATATTAGAGATTTTCCTTTTCAGAGTGGATCTCCATCTTCCCTTCTGATTTCTGCTTTGTCAGTGCCAAATTCTTTATTTTCTATATTACATTTTTACCATCCAGCAATTTGAATGGCAGATAATTAACAGATACGAGGATGATGCAAGGCAGATTTACCCTTTACAGAGATAATTTTTCTGTTGTCTTTTCAGCAATATCTTTTTGGGTCCTAAGAGGAGGACCACAGGAGGGACATATGTTCTTAATCTGAAAGTATGGTTACGTGACACTTAGAGAGGGACAGTGCTTTGACATCCACAGTTCCATTGTACGTGCTCATTGATAAAGTCTAATGTTCTTGCAAGGAGACAGTCTTTTGCTTGATATGACAAAGTGCATCTGAAACAGAAAAGATCTGAAATCAGCAGATGAGAGGTTAATCTATAACCATATAGTATACTTCCATGTAAATGGTACCTCATTTTCTTTTTAACAATGTGAGATGTATTAGAAAATCTTAACTACTTTTCTTTTGAGGATTTGCATTAAGCTCATATTCCACTTCATTATTGAATATACAGTTAGCCTTTCAGGGGAAATAGCTGATCCTTATTAGTATTACTATTGAATATAAATAGTAATGTTTAATGTGATTGTTATTGTTCTTTAATTATTCTAAATAATTTGTCCTGAGATTGTTTTAGTTGGGTGGTTTTGTTGTTTTAGTTTATTGAGGGTTTTCTGGTTTTGTTTTTTGTTTATTTTGAAAGATTATTTTTCAGTCCCAAGGATTGTAGGGAAATATGAGGATATATTACTTTGGAGAATGGTAGTCTTGCAACTGATCTATCTCTATGGCTAAGAAAATCCACTTCAGTACCAGGATTTTAGTTAGAGTGGTGTAAGCCTAGTTAAAAGGTAGCCCATTTCTCATTTCTTTGTCATAAAGTATTAATAGAGTTAATGAACTGTGTATACACTTCTTTAAATAGTGTTTCAGCTGCATAGGAATGTGTTGTCTTGTACAACATTACAGTGGGAGTTACAATTAAATAATCTATGTTTCTCCTTTTGGAATGGGCTGAGAAATGGGTGCATAAATAACAGAAAATATTAGCTGAACTGTAAAAATTGAAAAATTTTTGAATGACTGATTTGTCTCCATTTACTACAGTTAGCTGTTGAATTTTTTGCCACTACTCATTGTGCAGGCCAAGCTGTACAGGGCTGCATGTTGATATGGATTAGGGAACTGCAATAACTGTCAATTTGTTTCTTAAGGTTTCCACCATTGTGAATTTCTCTTGGTTTTACCATTAATAGAAAAGTAGAATGCAGCTCTCAAACTTTATAGATTGGACAAGTTTCATTAATAAATTGTGAGACACCTTTCAATTTTTTAACATGAGTTTTGAAAAGATTTTACAAATTAAAGTAAATATAGAAACCAGCTCACATGTACCATTAGTTTGCATATTTTCTGCCAATGGGCACTGTTATTTTCCTAATGATCAAATCATTCATGTTGCAAGTTTATAAAAATACATGATTGTAAACGGCAAATATTGTTTTTCTTATTTTAACCTCAGACACACAAATGCATCCTGAATAACAGAAGTCAATTCATACATGTTTTCTCTGTCACTTTGTTGGAAAACTATCTTAAGGTGGAATATCTTTTATTAAAATTCCATCAGTCTAACACAGAAAATCACTTGATTGAATAAACACTTCAATTAACAGATACTTGATTTTATTCCAGTCTTTGAGTATGGTGGTGGCAGAGCCTTTGTCAGTTTTCAACTTAGTTTACTTTCTTTTGTATAGGAGTGTCATTGTAAATCGTTTAGAAGATTAAATTAATAACAGACCCCCAACAGTACTTCCTCCTGTAGTAATGACATGTTCTAATTGCTTATAATAATTCTTGACGATATGAAGCTTATGGGCAGAAAGTAGACTCTTCAAAAAAAAATGTTCAGCTACAGAGAATTTCCTGTAAAGTCTTCATTGGAATAAAATTTCTTTCTCTACAGTTTGACGTTTAGATTGACATATTGTAGCTTCATTTCTAGATGCACCACTCAAATATACCCTCAATGTTTTAGGAGGTTAGCTTGTAAGGTAGTTGAGCTCTTAAAAACTATTAAAAATTGAATTGGCCAGTACTCTGAAGATGTTAATCTCTCCTTATATCAATCAATCAATCATGGAAAATAGATGAGAACTTTGGATCTTTTTGAAATTTGGCAGTGCATTCAGCATATACCACCAGCAGATAACAACTCTATCTCTTATGGCTCTTTACATTACTTTTTAAATGATCTTGTTGTTAATTGCTTGAAACTTTGCAAAGCTCTAACAGGTTGGGCTGGAATTTTCCACTTGAAGAAGGGCAATATGGATTCCTCATTACCTATATGCTAAATGAAGCAGGAGCCTGTTGAAAACTAGTATACTATCAAATAATTAAACATCCTGCCATAAAGCATACAGCTAGGGAGAAGAGTTGAGGGGAGTGTATAGTTTGACTTCTGACTTCTTCCATTCTTTCAACACTTGGCTTCATGACTTTGTCTTGTGCATAACAAGGTATTATGTGAGTGCTTATTTGTGAGTGCTGACATAGTAAAAAAATTGCATGTGATATTGATATCCCTGAATTTGATTATGGGTTTTGTGTGGTATTTCTGTTCTTTTGGCATTTCTTTCCTGTTTGGATTTTTTTTTTATTTGTCTTTTTTTTTTTTTTTTTTTAATTGTTCTTTTAGTTTGTCCCTAACCAACAATAGAATGACTTGAGTACTTCTGGGATTGAAATGTTAGCTACTTCTGTGTATGTAATTGGGTATCCAAGACCAGTACATGAGTACAGAATACTCTGTAGATCCTTGAATTAGAAATCCTGGTCTAATAGGTTTACAGGCTTGCACCCCTTTTTGGAAAAAGTCTATTTGCTCATGAAAATCAGGTTAGCTTCCCTTAGCCTTGGCTCAGTGTGACTTCTGACTGCACATCACATTCATTTTATCTGCAGGCTGTGGTTTGGTCATTTTGCATGCACTGCACCCTAACTTCTGAAACTCAAACTTAGGTGCTACATTTTGCGTGGGATCTCTATCCTCTGGTGAAAAAAAAAAAAAAAAAAAAAAAAAAAAAAGCCAAAAAAACCAAAACAACTAACTGGGCCTAGTCCAATTTTCTTGCATCATAAAAATCCTGTATACCCACTGTAGAATACTCCAGATAAAATAGCTCCCTTGGTAAGAATTCCTTCTGTTTTACTGCTTTGAGCATTTGAGTGGCACCATTCCCTCTGAGTTTGAGGGTGTGGTAGTTGTCTTGAAGCTTGATTAAAGAACATTGGTCCTTCTCTCTCTCCCTGATGCCCTTACAGCTGTTAATTTCCATGTATGCAGTACTGTGGGCAGTGACTCACCTGGAAACAGCCGTAGCCGACCTCTGCTTGGGTCAGCTGTAGGCCTCTCTTGAACCTCCAGTGGTGGCACTGGATACACTGTGACTTCATAATTTTGGGAAGATACTTAGCCATTTATTTGGAATAAATCAACTGGTGAGATGATGAATTATTCCTATCTCTCCTGTAGGCATTTTCAGTCCATCATTGGCTTGGGCAGGGGCACATTTATTTATAGAGCCCTTGTGAAAGAGCTGTGTAAACTCAGAGTACTAATCTGAAAGCTGCTGTTCTTCACCATTGCAAACTTGTTTGATATCGCTTATTTCCAACCTTTAAGAAATTTGATTGTTTGCTTCTTGGAGAAAGAGCCTGTCTTTCTCTGTATGTAAAATTCTTTCTCAGAATCTTCAAGACTACACTTATCTGTACCATAGTATATGGCTTTCTGACATCCCATTCATCTATTGTTCTTCAACATTGTCTGCTTCAGCCGCTCACAGTAAAGTATTTCACTTTGAAAAATGTCCAATTTTAGTCATTTCATATGCAACTAGACTAGCAGTTTAAAAATTATGGATGCTATATTCTAATTTAAACTCTTTTGGAAGATGTCCTAATTTAACTACATATAGAGTTTAGGTTTTTTAATGTCTTGCCCATCCCTCCAGTGTAGTTTCAGGAATGTTTTCTTAACCTTTCCTAGTTTTCAAAAGAATCTAGGTTCTTGATGTGTTATGATTAAATGTAAACACTTCCATATTTTCCCTACCATTCTATGGTAGACTGATGGAAAAGAAGTAACATTTCTACAGTAGATGTGATAAAGTTCCTGATACTTTGAGACTTTTGACTGGAACTTAGCAATTGGAGCACTCTCTTGCAATCCTGTTCCAACGTGACTTTTATCTCAGCCATGCTCTTTCAGCCCTAAAAAGGCCATAACTCAATCTCCTCACTCAAGTGTCTGTAAGACTTATTTGTGTGTGTGTCATTGCAATTCACCCGTTTCAAGATCACTGCACATTTAATACATAGCAAATTATAAATGAGATAATAAATTACAGAAGTCTTGAGAAATTTTGGGCATTCTCACTAGTATTTGTTTCACCCTGTAGGAGAAGCCTATATGAGAATGAGCCGGCTGCCAGAAGCAGAGCGCTGGTACGTGGAATCACTGCGATCAAAGAGCGACCACATCCCAGCCCATCTTACCTATGGAAAACTACTGGCTCTGACGGTGAGTTAATCAGCAGCTCCCAGGATCTTGTACGACCTTTGAATAGGTGAGGTAAAAGAACAGGAAAACTGTGGAGGTTTGAACTCAATCAGCAGCCAGACGCCCTGAGGCCAACCATTCACCTCCCCCCTCCCTGGTGAAATAGAGGAGGGACAAAAAGAAGATAATTTGTAGCTTCAATAAAAACAAAGAATTGAATAAATAGAACAAGAGAACCACAGTAAAAATAGTGAGTTAAAAAAAAAAACAGGTAAAATGCGGCAGTGGCTTACCGAGCACAGTGACCACCACCCCCAGTAACAGGCAACTGGATCAGAACGAGAAAACGGCAGGGGCCCACCCAAATACCTGGGCATGACGTCACATGGTATGAAATACTCCCATGATTGATAGGGACCCGGCCCTCTAGCTGTACTCCCTCTCAACCCAGGGAAAGTTAACTCCATCCTGCTTGAAACTGGAACAGTCTCCACCCTTTATTCCATACCATTGATATCATGCTCAGGTTCCAAATACATCCTAAGGAATCACCACCTCTATTTTCCAGGTCTCACAGATATCATTCCCTTTGTCTATGGCCCATCCTTCCAGAGTGTTTGCTGAGTTCATTTAGACCATAACTTCGGGTTCCATCTGTTAAAACATTCTATACAGATGAGGAATGAGGCAGAGTTGGCTCAGTCGGTGGAGCAGGAGGCTTTGGATTTGGCATGGGGATGCTGCAAGGCACTAAATGCAATAACAGGGTTATTGACAGTCTGGTTCACTGGTGATTCTCACCTAAAATCAAGTCTCCCTGAGGCACACATCAGACCTCTCCATCCTTCTGCATCACCCACCAAGTGCACCCAGGTCCTTGGGCAAAAGTAATCCCACGCATGGGTTTACCTTCACCAAATGCAGGGGTAACCCAGACTGCCTTCCCCAACATATTCCTAATGTGCACTACGGGGGCTTTATCCCCATCCACGGTATGTAGGAGGTTTGATTGGGCAGGGCCAGCTGGCTTGGCACATCCTCTGGTATTGACTAACCAGGTGGCTTTTGCTAAATGCACGTCCCAGTGATTGAAAGTTCCACCACCCATTGCTCTCAGTGTAGTTTTCAGCAATCTGTTGTATCGCTCAGTTTTCCCAGAGGCTGGTGCATGGTAGGGAATGTGATATATCCACTCACTGCCATGTTCTATGGCCCAGGCATCTATGAGGTTGTTTCAGAAATGTGTCCCATTATCTGACTCAATCCTTTCTGGCGTGCCATGCCGCCATAAGACTTTCTCCTCAAGGCCTAAAATGGTGTTCTGGGCAGTGGCATGGGGCACGGCATGAGTTTCCAACCAACCAGTGGCTGCTTCCACCATTGTAACCACATAGTGTTTGCCTTGCCGAGTTTGTGGTAGTGTGATATAATCAATCTGCCAGGCCTCCCCATATTTATACTTTGTCCATCGTCCTCCATACCAAATGGGCTTAAACCATTTGGCTTTCTTGATTGTAGCACATGTCTCACATTCATGGATTACCTGTGTGATAACATCCATGGTTAAGTCCACCCCTCAGTCACGAACCCATCTATATGTTGCATCTCTTCCCTGATGACCTGAGGAGTCATGGGCCCAGCGAGCCAGAAATTGTTCACCCTTATGTTGCCCGTCCAGATCTACTTGAGATACCTGAATCTTGGCAGCCTGATCTGCCTGTTGGTTGTTCTGATGTTCTTCAGTGGCCCGGCTCTTGGGTACATGAGCGTCTACATGGGGTACTTTCACAGCCAGATTCTCTACTCAAGCAGCAATATCTTATCATAATTCAGCACCCCAGACGGGTTTGCCTCTGCACTGCCAGTTGCTCCGTTTCCACTGCTGTAACCCCCCACAGCACACTTGCCACCATCCATGAGTCAGTACAGAGGAAGAGCACTGGCCACTTTTTTTGCTCAGCGATATCCAAGGCCAGCTGGATGGCTTTCACTTCTGTGAACTGACTCGATTCATCTTCTCCTTCAGCAGCTTCAGAAATCTATCGTGTGGGGCTCCACACAGCTGCTTTCCACCTTTGGTTTCCCCACAATGCGACAGGATCTGTCAGTAAACAGGGCATATTGCTTCTTATTATCCGGTAGCTCAGTATATTCTGGACCCTCTTCAGTACGAGCTACCTCTTTCTCTGGCTCCATTCCAGCATCTTTGTTTTCTGGCCAATTTGTGATCACTTCCAATATTCCCGGAGGGCTGGGGCTCCCTATTCGAGCCCGTTGTGTGATTAATGCCACCCATTTACTCCACGTGGCATCAGTTGCATGGTGTATAGAGGGGACACTCCCTTTGAACATCCAGTCCAGTACCGGAGCAGCCAGGTATCGAGGTGCTCAGCTGGCTAGTGGCTGTAATCTTTTCTTATGTCTCACAAGTCACTCAAGGAGAAGAATTGGGTGACTATCTCTGGCTCTGCCTCCTCCTCCTGTTCTCATGATGGACCTGATTCATCATCACCCTGTACACTGCCAGGGGATTTTCTTGTCTATTTCTTTTTCTGTATGGGAGCAACTGATACTGTCATTGGTTCGTTCTCTGGTTCAGCTGCAGTGCCTGTCCTTGGGCTTATAGTGGCTGCAGTCTCTGTTACCTGGTTACCAGGTCCAGAGCCCTTCTCTTCCTCTGGAGGGTGCTGAACAGCGTTTAATAGCACTCGGTAAGTGTGGGCTAAGCCCCAGCGTGTTTCAGTGAGCTGTGCATCTCTACAGTTACCTGGGTGACAACATACTTTTTCAAAATATTCTACTAGTTCTTCAGGATCCTGCACCTGTTCAGGAGTGAAGTTCCAATACACCGGAGCTACCCAGTGTTCAAGGTACCTGCCCATGCTACTCCACACATCCAGCCACTCATAATTCTCCAACATTAGAGTAGGTTTCCAAGTGATATTCTTAAATAGTTTCTTAACCCTGAACAAAACCAGAACCGCATTCAGGAACACACTAGCTCCTAACAGCATGGCAACTATGTTTATATCAATATTCCAAAGATATTTGAACTCTCCAAATTTCCCAAACACAGCTGTAAATAGCCCCAGGACCAATGACCACATGCTATCATAGCTGAGCATCACATAGTACAACAGAAACCTTAACTCACCTCTCACGGAAGGTGAGCAACAGCATGGGAAACACATATTGTATATGAGCTGATAAGATCTCAAGGAGTCAAGCAATCCACATTTACCCATTTTGTTGTTTTATTTAAAAAAAAAAAACCAGCCTCAGTGCCCCATGTTGGGCACCAAAAACTGTGAGGGTTTGAACTCAGCTGGCAGCCAGTCTCCATGTGGGCTGCCATTCAACTCCCCCCTCCTTGGTGAAATAGGGGAGGGACAAAAAGAATAGAATTCATAGGTTGAATAAAAGAAAGAATTTACTAAGTATAACAAGAGAACAACAATAACAATAGTGAGTCCAAAAAGAAAAGGGTAAAGTGTAGCTGTGGCTTACCGAGAGCAGCGACTGCCCCCCCCCCAGCAATTCGCAACTGGACCGGAACCCGAAAACGGCAGGTGCCCACCTGAATACCCTGGGCATTGGGACCCGGCCCTCTAGCTGTGCTTCCTCTCAACCCAGGAAAAGTTAAATCTATCCTGGTTGAAACCAGGACAAAGACTTTGACCTGAACATTGCTTATTGCCCTATTTGTCACACTATTTCAGTCATGCCTTCTAATTAAAAATTTTGACAGCATCATTTTTTTGAGAAATACTGCATCCATTCCTACAATATCACCACCTCTGTGCTGGAAGAAAACAGTTATAATAGCATAGGAACTTTATAACAGGTAGTAAAGAGTTCTCTCGTTGATTAAAGCCTTTATTATAAGTAGTTTAGATTGCAAGTAATGGTATTAATACAAAAAGATATTCAGTGTTTGACCCAGGGTGGTTGTAGCAGCCTATGGCAGCCTAGGGTGTCACCTGTACTTTGTGAATTACATGTCTCTTGCTTTGAATTACACTTCTTTAGGAGTATCTGTTTGAGCATGTGAAAAGAACTACTCAACCATTAAAAGCTAGTTCTAAAAAAATTAGAAGGGTTGGACTTTTTCTTCAAAATCTACTTTGACTTTCAAGTTTATATGAGCTTTAGCTCCAGCTAAGCTAGCCCCATGTAATAGCTATGGTAAAGCATCAGTCCTTCCTTGGTTTTCACACATTTTGAAGATGAAAATTGATTTCTATTTTATTCACTAAAATAATGCTTTTTTAAAACTGCCTTTCATTCCTTTTCCATTTCTCATTCCTATTTTTCTGATCATGTTTTCTTTTCTGTTTCTCTCTTCTACATTTGTTTTCATTGTTCACCCTAGCAGTTTCATATTTCCTTTCTATGCTCTACTGGGAACCTTTGTATGACTCTTCAATCCTTGTGCCTCAGTCTGAATATCTTTCTCAACTTTTCACCTAGCTATAAGATTTTAATCTGACCTTGCTTATGCTCTGTCCAATCTTCAAGCAAAAAATGTCCTTGGACACAGGGTAGAGATCCAGTGAAGAAAAATATTTCATAATTCATTTCTGCAGATCCATTGCTGCTATAATAAAAGTATCTGGACTTGGAAGACGGGGAGAAATGAGAATAGAAGTTTTCTATATGAGTAACAACTGAAAACATGGAAAGAATTAAAATTTGTTCAGTGTTATCATGTAATATCAAATACAGAGTTTGATGAAAAACTGCCTGGATAGCACATTTTAGCTTTTAATGGAAGTCAAGATGGCAGTGTTATATCCCCACTGTCTGGCTGTTCCAGGCTCTGGAAAGGCAGTTTTTTGATACAATTCCCAGTTACAGTTAAAATTCCTTGGATATTGACAAATACATGCACGAACTGATTACCTTCCTCTCGGATAGAACTGCAAGTAGATTATGCAGCAAAATTTCCTACTTTACCTTGTATTTCTAGCAGATATTTTCATATCTTGCACCTAAGAATAATAGGAGAAAGTCAGAATTAT